TCATTTCTTCTTCATTCGTTAATCCGCGAGGAAATGTTCATGCATTTTAAAAGCAGTCAACTTTTTTCGTTATTTTTACTTCATTTTCTTAAATTATCCCTCTATATTGATTTCATAACAACTTTATTAAACAACGTCACAGATCAAGTTTAATACTTTTGTTTAACTACCATAACTTTCAGAAAAACATAGTTTTTTCTCAGTCGAATCATTTGCTCTGTAAAGTTAATAATAGTTAAAGTTATGTTTCTTGTGTTTCAATTCAGATCACATAATCCGTAACTGTCTGAAAGCAAAATTTATAACCATATAAGTGTTAAAGTTAATGTAAAAGCTACACAATTCCTTGCTGCATAGGGCTGCCTTACTAGCTCTTCAAAGTTGACTGATAAGTCATCTTCTTAAAATTATTCGTCCGGGATAACACGTTGTAGATTTCCCAATCATCCGTCGGGGTCAGCAGTGATATAGGGTCAGCGGCAATTACTTCTAAAAGCCAATAAGAAGAAAAAAAGTCAACGCTTTCGATCTTTCTGATTCCGCTTGTACACATTCGTGCTTATCAGCTGGATTAGCAAATTGTACTGACTTCTTGCTAATATCGTTATTTTAAACCGTGAATGGGTTTAAAACGTCTTTTATTTACGGCCAGTTTATTTCAAAGTAAAGGTTTGAATGGTACCAAGGATACAGGAATGATCAAAAGTCTCCGATTGCCGTTCGCTTACTGTTGATCAAGTAAAACAAAAATAGGGGTACGGCATTGAATCGAATGGCTTATATTCATTCGGAGACAGACAAAGGAGCTTCGTAATGGCTCAAGCCCTCAATCATACACAATAACTATCACAATTTAGTTGAAATATGTGACTTACCGACTACATTGTTTTATTTTACTTACTCTTTGCTGGTACCACTGATGTCGGTCGGAAATCGCTTTAATGAAGACAACAACCTGAAGATAACTTTTTCGAATTCATTTTACGAGGAGTAACGAAATGACATTTAATGAAAGTTGAGCCTCATGGCATAAAGCGCCATACTGATTGTAAATGGTACCCCTTTGACCATCTGTGCTCAACCAGGGAAGGTCATGCGTGCCTCCTTTTCCAAAATTCCCCGTTAAAGATTTCGTTTTTGACTCGTCCAGATATCCTTCAGAATCTCATGCATAAGTTACTGCACTTTCAGCAGCAAGATTTTGCAAAATCTGCCGATGTTGAAGCATGTTTTGTAAGTCGCACGAGGTTTTTTCTTCAGCAAAAAGCAACAGTTAACCAGGTCTTGTATTCAGAAGTGGCTTCCTTATGAACGCAGAACTTTTACATAGCTGACTATCTCGACTCAATGAGAGCTCGGAAAAAGCACTAAAGCTGAATCCCGACTTGATAACTTCACTGAAATTAGACAATTTTATCTAGGTTCAAAATCGTGATCCCGAGCTAGATGGAACACTAAAACCTGCAGCAGACGCAGCTGGCGAGCATGAAGAAATATCACACAGTCACGCTATGTTATGCCACGTATTAAGCTTGAAATGGTGCCTTTTGAAAGACTCATTGGTTGTGAGTCGCAGTGTTAATCGTAAGCTCAAGTATGCTGTTACGCAACGTTCATTTTGTCAACAAAATTTGGTGTTTAAATCTCTAGTAGCTGGTGAACAAATTTCCTGGAGAACTTAAGACAAGATAAATTCGTAGGTAGTACCCTTGCTCCTGAAAAAATGTTGATCGTTTGGAGCGCATTTAGTTCTTTCCACCGTTTACAATGCAATTTCTCGTACTGGCTGAAGGTAAAACCCATTTACGAACAGTTTCGTAACGATGCGGCATTAACGAATCCATATAAACATGAAACTTTGAAAATTTGTTTGGATTTTGCAAATGGGATCAAAACCAAAAAAATTTAAATTGTTGGCATCAATCAGGAAAATTAGGTCAATTAGATGGACTGCGAGCCACTTTTCGTGGGTCCAAATAACCTTCTTCTTCGTTCTATCGGTCAATTAAGCCGCTTGTTTAGAATTTGACGCTAAACTTCTTGTAATTGTGGATGTAGACATCCATCAATAGTGAGGTTTATCTGTCTGTTCCACCGCAAGTATAACGATCAGAGCAAAAATCATATACTTTCCGTGATTCACTTGCTTTTCACTGTCTCCAAAATTAATTCACTGCTCTGGATCATCGAAACATTTTTTACATTATACGAAAATCTGCCACCATGATCTTTCGTTAGAGACTCGGATCTCTTGGTTGAGCGTTTGAGGCTTAAGCAACCACCCGGTAATAATTGAGTTGTTAATTACTTGGGTCCATATCGTGGTACAATTTTACGCAGCTCGGAAAAATACGGATTGTTTTTTTAACCAACTGCGCCGTTCATGTCGAAATCGTTCTTTCCCTAGATACCAGCTCTTGCATGATGGAATAGAGCAATTTATCGCGCGCCGCGGTACATCGTCTTTCTTCTAAAACTATGTCGAGGCCAGTCTTAATGGCGTTCGCTTGGTGTTTGCCAATCATGTTATTAACACCTGTCTCCAAAAGGTTGATATAAATCGCTTGTGATTGTGATACAGAAAAAGATACAGAAGTGTTTTGAAGGACTGTGAACTGCATCTTTTGTCTTATGATTTAGCTAGAACGGACAACTAGTGAGTTTCACTTTGAAGAAGCGAGTTTCAGATGGATGAAAAACGTTGAAATAAGCAAGTAGGAAAACAAAAAAAAAACAGATCTCAAAACACAACACGATGCATTCAGAAAACTATTTGGCCAGGCATCTGATCCCCTTCAAATTTATGATTAAACAAAAAAACAGCAGCTTAAAATGGCTAGCTCAAACCTATTCAGGTTATTTGAATAGCAATTGCTCAATCATCAGTGTGAACAAACATTTTTACATGACTGAAAAACCACAAAATGCAACCATAAACACTTTCCCGGCTATTAATTCCCAGATTTTTAATACCAGCGTTGAGTGTTTTTCGTTGAAAGTTCATGAGGTTTTAAATTTATTCTACTAACGGAGAGTTATGAAGCTTTTGATTAACGAAGCCAATCATATACGCCTTTGAAAGCACAAATCCGATGATATACGTTACTAACAAACATTCAAAGTAACGATGATTTGGAAGGAACGAAGTAAAAAATACTTTAAGTGTAAAAAAAGCAGATGTGATGGTTGTTTTAAAACATGCATAAAAGAGTCCGACTTCGGTGCTAGAACCGGAGCAACTTCCAATACATTGCAAAAAGAAAAAGAAAAGACAATTACCTCGTTATCCTTTACAAATGTGAGTAGCAACAAGGTCATCAAGGTCAAAAGAACATTGAAACAAGAAGCGGCCTTTGTTTTCATTAGCGCAATTGTTGTGATATACTTATTAAATAGTTTCAGAGAAGTAATAATGACTTCTCGAATTGATAACACAAAAAGAACTCCGTCACTGAGATATCTCGAGGAAACACCCATTGCAAAACAAGATCACAAACGGAAATGCGCAGAGTTGAGACCAGTAGAAGAGAATCAGGGATAGTAGCACGTGATGAACAAAATTGAAGCACAAACCAAGTAGAGCGTAGATCAAGCTATTCAAAACCCATGTACATAGTTAGCAGCAGTTTAAATAGAGTGTTGCAAGGAACAATCCGAATTATTGTTGACGAAATTGCCATCACATCGAAGACTGAAATTCTTACACAAATTGAGGACGAGCTTGAAAAGTTAAGAGCCGAAATATGCTGAAAACAAATTCAGAATTGGAACTCTTGGAAAACTACAATCTCCGACTCAACATTCGTATCGTGGGTTTGCGGAACAAATTGTGACAGACAATACTGGGAAACGTGTATTTGAAAAAATTGACATATCGATTGAAAAAACTACTGGTTTATATAACAAAATAGGCGCCAACGTGGGAAAGTCTGACATTAATTTTGCCCATCGTCTTCCGGTCAGAAATTAAAATCAAATCCGGTGCCCATTGTAAGTTTTACAAGAAAAGTGAATAAAAACGAGAATCATTTAAGAAAGAAACATCTGCGCACTGATGAGCGCCTCAGTAGAATTCAAATTTTTGAAGATATAAACAGTGTACGGGTACAATTCATTCCAATGGTGAAGAAAGATCCACCAATCCGAGAAGAGGAGACAAGAGAAGGAACTACTTTTTTTGAGTGGAAAGAAGATGGTTATGCTCAAAAGACTACTGGTCTATACGATGGAGGAGCAGCTCTTAACTATTCAATGGATAATGTGAAATGCTGTTTAGTGGCAGGCACGGTGTTTTTTAACAAAAAAAGGCCTGAAGTGACCTAAAAATTAAAGTAGCGCCTAAAAATTTTAGTAAACTTGATAATGCCGATACTTTTGATAATCTTTTGTGTAATGTTAGATCCCTAAAAAAGCCTAATGATGAAGTAGAAGCACTGACTAACTGTCTCGATTCTCCTATATTAGTTTGTACTACTGAAACCTGGTTAAGTGATACTGATCTGATGATAAAGTATGTTCGTGGTAAAATAAACAATGATTCTTATGGTAACAACAGGCTTTGAAGAGGTAGCGGTAGAATGGTTCATTTCACCCTGAAACATCATTTGTTAAACATTTGGTTGCTAATCTACCGCGAGCAACGTCAATTATTGTAGAGCGTCATAAAATTCAACTCATTGTAGTAGTGGTATATCTTTTACTAAAGAATTATAATTGTTATCAATATCTTTTACTAAAGAATTATAATTGTTATCAATTTTTTTCACCAATGATGTTCACCAACTAGATAACGCGCCCCAAAATTTTGCTGAAAAACTAGAAAAAATTCCCAAGATTCTTTTTTTCCTACCATTCTCTTACCAATACACAAAAAAATTGAGTGAAATGACTAAATTCTTCAAACGTTTTCCTGTTTTTCTGTTTCGTTGGTCTTTATTCACCTAATCACAGGTATGAGTTGTAATGTTTAAGAACACTAAATTGTTGAAATTGTGTTTTAGCCTCTACATCAAGACAACAGCTACCAGAGGAAACCGAAAGCCGAATCAAAGAAAACGTAAACTTCTACTCTGGAGAATCGGATGACATCAAAAATAACGAACTGAAAAAACTTCTTGTAGTGGGGAAAACAGGATCGGGCAAAAGTAGTTTGTGTAACGTACTGTCCGGCAACAATTACGACGCGGATTTATTTGAAGTTTCAGCTGAAAGTAAATCTTGTACCCAGAAAACAAACTTCAGGAACGTGTTTTTCAACGCAGACAGAACGAAACCTATTAGCGTCATAGATACGATTGGATTTGATGATCCGAATAATGATACTGATGCTAAAATCATTTCTGATCTCGTTGTCAAGCTCAAAAATTACTGCGATTATGTGAATTTATTTCTCATCGCTGTTAATGGGCAAGATCCAAGACTTGATAGTTCTTTGATTGGAATGCTTAAGGTAAAAAGTTTAACTGTTTATAGCAGTGTAGACTTTTGACGGTTTTTGTAACATGTTCCTACTGTGGGCGTATTTTTAGAAAAATCAACGTCCAATTCTGGAAATATTAATACTGCTCAAGTTCTTAGGTCGGAAACAATCTCCATTCATTTTACGAGTTTGGTTTCTAAACTCAACAATTTCACTTTAATTTCACTTTTTTTATCATACAAAAAACTCACTTTTTTTCGTAAAAAAAAACTGTTCAAATATTTTGTTTTATAATTCTGCAAACTGTATTTAACAATTTTTTTTCAAAGATATTCGAGCAAATGTTTGGACTGAATTTCTGGGGACAAGCGGTCATTGTTTTTACTATGCTGCCCATGGATAATTACAACATCGGAAACAGGAAGCGAATAAAAAAACAGTCTGACGCTCAACTAGCTCTAAAATATATTCAAGAGTTGGGAAATCATTTTCCAAAGGCAAAAGGACTGAAATATCTTATTTTGGACGCTTGCCGCAATCAAGAAAGCTCAGAGGATGTTCAAGCATTTGACATGGGAGTGCGCGATGTTTGGCAACTGCTGGAGAAAGCACCAAGGCTTCCTACTGAAAACGTTAAAAAGGTAGAAACCGAACATCGTAAACTGAAACGCGAGATCGAGCAGAAAGAAAAGCAAATGGAAGAAATGAAGAAACAGCAACAACTAGAAAACGAAAGAATGTAAGCATAGTTATTGTACTGCACGCTGATTTTTTAGAAGGAGGGGCCAATATTTGAACTTAGCTTTGAATTGACTTTCGATGTATCAAAAAATGAAATTGATTTGCCAATTGCCAAATACATACATTATTTTGCCTGTTCTTTAAAAACGTTTTCATACTTTGGCAACTAGATGATATAGAAGTTATTTTAATAAATTGCAGCTAAACTATAAAATATTAACATGACACTGAAACAATTTTACTCGAGTTGAACAGGTACAATTTTTCTTAATCTTCTTTAGTTCATAAAGTTGATGACTGAACATTTTTTTAAAAATCGTCTAAAACCAGCATGTTTTTCTTGTCAGTAAAACGGGGTTTGACTTTCAACGAAGCTGACAAGCAATGGTTTTTTTTGTATCCCAAGTTCAAATTGTGGAGCATCGAAAAACGAAAAGAGCCAAAACTTTTTCTATAAAGGGTGTTAAATTGTTCAATTTGCATTATTTTTTTAATGCACGTAGTTATATTTGAGTTATGAGTAAATTGATATTGCCGTAAAATATCGATACTATACTATTTTATCAGGGGAAAAAGTTGCTTTCAAACACATTGTAGTTTTCTGCGCTGAAACTGAAATTTGGATTATTTGCCATCTGTTAATTCTTTGTTCGTGTTTAAGGAAAGAAGAAATCAAAAAGATGCAAAACCAGTTCAACAAAGAAGTTGAGACAATAAAAGCAAAGCAAGATCAAGACCGAAAACAAATGGAAACAAAACATGCAAATGAACTAAAAAAGTTAGCAGCGGAAGGAGACAAAATTCGTTTAAATCTTGAGCAGAAACTATCTAAACTGGAAAATGACATGGCAAGGGAACTCGCCAAGAAGGAAGCAGAGCGCGAGAGCTTCCAAAAACAGTTTGATGAGCAGAACAAGAAAACGGAAAAATTACTTTCCGAGAAACTGGATAAAATCAACTTGCAGCAAGTTCAGCTACAACTTAAATTGGAGAAGGAACAAGACAGCACAGAGTTATTGAGAAAAATGGAAGTTCTCAAAAAACAGCAAAAAGATTTGGAGGAAAAACATACGAGTCAAATAGCAGAACAACAAGATAAAATGAGCCAAAAAGAGAAAGAGATCGAAAAACAGAAACTGGAATTGAAACTGAAATATGAGAAGGAGCAGCAAGAAGAACGGAAAAAATGGGAGTCCAAAATTTCAGAAGCAGAGAAAAAATTGCAACAACAGCAAGCTCAGGCATCAGAAAATAAAATCAAGCAGCAAAAACTAGATGATGAAAAACTAGATGACGTCAAAACAGGTAGGAACGTGTTTTTATTAATTATTTTGCTCTCTTTATCTCATAATCATTTTTCAATACGAGGCCAAACTGCTCTGCGTTTTGTGGATTAAAAGCGAATTCGTCAACAAGGACGCCCCTTGGGCTTTTTTGTTTTTGTTTTCAATTTCGTTGATCGTTCCGACCAAAATTTGACATGTTTAAAGACTTGTCTCTGGAATGCAGGAACAGACAGACACAATCTTTTATTCCTATCCAGAGCACATTTCGCTCCTATCCAAACAAAAGGTTAGTTTTCAAGGTTCACAAAAATTTTTGGACTGATGCGAGTATGTCGAGTCTTATAACTTGGCTTCGTCAAGTTATTGTGTTCCACTTCTGTACTTAGCATTTTTCATCTACACTTGTGCTGAAAAAATATTAACCTCGTCTTTAAATTTTTGAAACATATTCTGGTAAAATTTTTCTTGTGCAGTTGAAATCTATATAGAGTAATGCTTTTCAAAAGGTTTTTTGCAATTTTTTGTAATCCTCGAACTATTATTCACTTTGTAAAAAACACAGTCAATGTAACTTTTCTCTCAAAATAAATCAAAACGATACTTTTTGCTCTTTCACGGCTTTTCTTTTGTGATAACTTCGTGATATAGTCTGCACAATTATCAGTTTTTTTCACCGGCTTCCTTCAAACTTTGAAAAATTCGAGGTATGCTTGTAAGCAAAGTCTAGCAACGTGACGATTTGTTGACGCCACGATTGACTCTTACAGATCATTAATCAATTGATCCCGTTAATCAACTATAAATTGGGCAAATTTTCATTATGGAGAAAACTATGAACAAGATCTCTAAGCTTGCCAGTTATCGCATTGACTGTCATTAACTGGTATACCAATCTCGACATTTTGTGACACTAAGTTCAGAGCTTAAAGTCTCGGAGAAGTCCTTCACTTCTCCTTTTGATAAACTGTAAAGGTTTTTCAAGCATTCATTGCATCATTTGGGGCTATAAAACGGATGCATTTTCGGCTAAGAGTCACTTGAGACATGCCTTCCAACGGGAGATTTTAATCCGCTTGATTATTTCGATCGTGATACTTAAAATCAATCAACGGGTCCAGCAGTTTTGTTGAAAACGATTGGATTTGTTCAATTTTTTTTGATTTTTGGTGAATTTTCATCAAACTGTTCTCAGTTTGTCTATGATGTGAAAACCAATATCAATTATGTTCACTTGGGTCCTGTTTCAGTTGAAATTGGCATTTAAAAGTTTGAATGTTACTTCTTACTCAACTGATTATCCTTCTATTCCGTGAACACCAAAAAAACTGCTATAATTTGAGTTAACTGGGACTTGTGGAATTGTTGTTGAAATGGCAATGCCTTCGCTTAACTCAATCACGAAAAAAAATCTAAAAGAATTTCCAAAAAATGGGGAACTTGAGGAGACACTCGAATCAAACCTTGAGGAGAAAATTAAGGAACAATTGTGAACAATAAAATTTGGAACGAATCAAAAAGTGGAATTATCCGTTGTGGAAAGAAGAAAAGAGACCGACGAACATTAATTTAAGTATAAACCATAATTGAAAACAAGTTTAAGAATCAGCGACTGAAAATTACCGTCAAAAAACTTCAAACTCCACAAATAAATAGATAAAAATACTTAAGCAGCACACGTCAGTAGGAAGCTTTCGCTAGTTATTTTCACGAACGAATTGAGTTAACTTGATGTCGTTCGAATAGGAAAAACAAAACATAAACTAATGTCGGGACATCATACGTAATCTACTGAAACTACTAGACGCGATCAGCTAACATTAAACAATTTCCAAAGTTGTCGAATTCAATACAAAAAAGAAAAGCATGTTCAAAATTAGCATTTGAAAAAAGCCAGGTACAACAAGGAACTGAATAAAACTAGACAAGAAAATTAAGAACTAGGGTTGAATAGCCATATCTCGAAAACTGTGTAGCATTCTCATCTTCCTCAAAAAACATCAAGTTGAGCATCAAAATTACGATGAGTTAAAAAATGAAAAAGGAAGGTTGAAACTTCTCACTGTAGATAAAAGCTTCGATGCTATAAAGCAAAATCATTTTCACGATGGATGAATCAATTGATAAAGTAGCATTCTTCCACTAGACAGACGGAAAAAAGGCTTGTGTGTGAACAAACAAAAACTGAAAGACCAATCTCATAATTTCCCAAACTTACCCGCACTCCGTGAAAAGAGAAAATAATCTATTATAGTGTAAGTATAATTGTACTTTTATTGAATTTATAATTGATTGTAAGCGCCAAATTTAGATGTTTAAGCGATTTATAATCCTTTATAAGGATAATGTTTTTCGTGACTTTATAAAAATTATAATGAGTTATAAATGTTTATATTTTTTTCCGAAAATCTCCTAAAATATCTTATAATCTCTAATAATCAATGATAATCTTTTAAAATAGGTTATAATCATTTTTCCGGTCAGAAAACTGTGACAGTGAGGTGTCATGTCACTCTTTGGTTCACCTGAACACGAACTTTCTCATGAAACAAAAGCTACATAGATATCCGTTCATATTAGTTGAAAGAATCACGCGGTAGATGAAATATAAATCCTCTGTATATCTTGAAACTAAAGCAGTGTGCTAATATTTAGGTAATCAAAAAAACCTAACCTAAAATGTGCAACATGAATCAACTATAATCAAGAAGAAATGTAACATTTGCCCAAACACTACACGGTGACGGAGCGTAGAAAATTCACCTATTGACGACTGGCAGGAGTAAGTTACGTTAATTCTACTCGTTTCTTACCGTCTAGGACTAGCCAGTTAGTTTTCTAGTCTGTTTAGCGATAATTAAAAACTTACAATTTTTAGGCCATCAGTCTTACTACAGTTACACGCAAAGATGAACACATAGCTGGGTCTCGGATCCCTAGACTACGTGATTACTATTAAAAACACGACCCGAAACCCAGTTTTTACTTTGCTTTTAGTGACAATTAAAAATTGAATCCACTAGGGATGGATTGACTTTTCCTTTTGTTGTTGTTTCAGATTGATTTATATAAATTCTGATAGAAAGATTGAGTGTTTTGGTTGTTGGTTAGATACCCTCCCTCGAGTGTTGTTTCAGTATTTAAGCACGTTAATGATAATTTTGCTGGTGACGGAGGCTAGAGTGGCAAGCTGACATACGTGTTCCAGACTATCCAAGAGGCAACAGGACAACATCCACAACGACTGTTTTGTACCGTTAACACAATTTTAGTATCGTTCGTGTACTATTTCATTAAAATTTAAGTGGTGGGGACAAAATTGGCGCGGTCCGTGTATACCCTCCATCATTAAAATTCTCTCAAATATTACACTGTGACAGAGTGTAGAAAAAGCACCTTTTGACGACTGGCAGGCGTCAGTTACCTTAGTTCTACTCGTTTTTCACAGTCTAGACCAAACCAGTTAGTTTTCTGGTCTGTTTAGGGCTAAGTAAAAAGTTACCAATTTCAGACCATCAATTAAACGACTTTTGATCAGCTTTCGTTACATGCAAAGACAACCACGTAGCTGGGTCTCGGATCCCCTGACTACGTGACTATCATTAAAAACACGGCTCAGAATCCATTATTTACTATGTTTTTAGTGACAGTTTAATAGTAAACCCATTGGAGATGGATTGGTTTTTCCTTTCTCTAGCTACTCATGCTTTGAAACACTATGTAAAATTGGATTTTATCAACTGTTCAGGGCATCACAGCAGCTAAAAAATTCGTTTTTAGTTTCGTTAAGTCTTTGAAAGTGTCTGGGCACTGGGCCTACAATTCCGTTCTTTATCTCTCCAATCTTGTGGTACGGGACGGTACGGATCCGCTCCGGCTGTCCCACTGAGGCCTCCTTTCTTCTGATCTGCTTCAGCTAAGCGTCTTATTGTGTCTTGTTATCACGAAAAGAGGCGCCGTTTCTTCTCTATTTTCCACAAGTATTCTTCGCCTTATTTTCTCGGCGTCTCTGTTTCAGCTGTCTTTATCCTCTTTTTTTTTCAAAATTGCCGTTCCTGCTTTTCACGGATTCTTTCCGTTCCCAATCTGATGCTAACGCCTTTTTTGTTCGTCGGCGGGTTCGACTGTGCCAATCCGGGGGAAAGGCACATACTCCCCGGACAGTCCGCTTCAATAACCCCATTGAATGCAAAACTCCGGGTTATCTTCAAGTGCTGATCCAGTTTTCTACAATCAACTTTACAAATCGCATTAGAAAATGAAAATTATCTACGTCACCTCAACTCACTGCGTGTCATAAATGGCATCGTACTATCTTTCACTGCCTTCTAACATTTTCACAAAATTTGCAATGTGAGGAATGTCCTTGATAACTTTATTTTCTGACTGCATACGTCGTTTTACCTAAATTTATTCTCGTTCTTATTGATTTAAAAAGGTTTGAGAAGTGGTAAAGCCACGTTCCCGCCGTTAAAATTAAGTTAGTGTCACTCACAAATTATAATTGTTATTTTCTGCTGTTGCCCTTGATAATGAAATTAAGAATTTCTGTGGCTAGGAAAGGTAATGAGGTACTCACTCTCTTCGAGTGAGCGTACCCGAAATAAACCAGTTCGCCATAAAGTGAAGACGTTTCCTAAACAGGTTAAAAATTTCAGTCAGTTTTAAATATGTAAGTATACTCACCTAAATAAATATATAACATCAACAGAAAATTTCATTGCAATTGATCAATTATAACAATTTCAACAAAATGTCAACAAAACCAAAAATTTTAAAAATATCAATTATCAATCTCGGTTGATTAGTTCACGTTTTCCTAACCTACAACAATTAAGTTTTCACTTCTCTCCAATCTACTCCGTGTCTCGTATTCAACTCTCACTCCATCTCTTCCTGTTCCAGCTCACCCATCTCAGTGTCTTGCAGGACTTTCTGCAGCGTGTCTACATAGTTGCGAGCCGTGCCCCTGCTTTCTTGTTCTAACAACCTCTGCTTACCACAGGGCAGTAGATCCGCGTT